ATGGGATTTAAAGTCCACTGGAAATGCACACTAAAAAGCCCATAGACAGTGGTGCTGATAGGGACAGGCAGAGCAAGCATCACATCCTTAGGGCTTTCTATTGTGCAGTTTGTGGTCTTATTATTTCAGCAATAAAGTTTATTTATTTTACATTGATTTTTTTTATTTTATTTTTTATACGAGACCTTCCAGTTAAACTCATATGCCCTTAGGGCCTTATTCTAATTTTGTATTTATGTCTATAGTTTTCATGGGTTATCCCCATCAGAGGTCTCCTTATCATGCTATATAGTTCCCTTGTGGAACTTTACTAGTGGTTATAAATACTGGCATGATATTGAACAATAGGAAGGTACGTATCAGTAGTATTTTTCCTTAAAAGAGCAATCAGGATAAGTTGAAAATGTGACTCAATGTTGGATTTTTGCAAAAGAACAAACAGGCCCTCATCTCCTTGTCAAAAGACATGTACCTCATGCTACCATCCTCTGCTCCAATACCATAATTTGAAGATTTATGATCCGGATAAGAAAGGTGATAAATAAGGTTGAATTTTCCTGGCTACTTTGTAGCGACAAGACTAAGCAGGGAAATATGTAAATTAGCAAAGGAAAAGAAGAAAAAGGACTAGCCATCCTACCCAAAGACACCTCCTTAGCCAATTTGTTCAAAACAGCCTCTTCCTAACCAAACTGAGAAAACATAGAAACATGAAAGTCAGGCCTCATAAACCATACCACAAATCTTTCGTTATATCCTGCAATTCCTTTGGGTTTCACATTTTTGATATAATAACCAAGATCCCATTAAAACTTATGGGATGCTCACTTCCCCTAAAATTACCTTCTTTGCCGAGCTCCCATTAATTATTTTCTGGGTTGAAAGTTTTCCCTCAAATCTCTACAAGTTTTGCCAAAAATGATCTCCAACACCAAGATCTCATTAAATTTAATTGGGTACATTTGCTAGACTCCAAATTTTAGTGGAATTAATTCTAACTGATTGTGAGCTCATTTGGACTGGGCCCTCTTCACCGACTGTACCAACATGTCATACATTTTTTGTTAGAATTAAATGTTTCTCTTGTTTCCTATTGTACAGCTTTACAGAATATGTTGGTGCTATATAAATTGTAGAGTTGTAATTGAGACATCAATAGCAGATCTGGATAAGGATGGGGTCATCTCATCCCAAGTTGCTAATGAGTTTTAATGATGGACAGCCGTGATCAAAATATGTTTCCATTAACTAAAGAATGGTGACAGATGGTGAATGAAATACTGAACTAAGGAAATGTGTACATATATCATGAGAAAGCAAATAAACCGGGGATTTCCATAAAATGCTACATCAGCAAGACAAGTAATTCGCCAAAATTGTTCTCTTCTAAGTGAGTGGATTGTTTGTTTATTGTGTTTTGAATCTGAATGTACAAAACAACTTGAATTGTACTCTATTTCAGATCAAAATGTGTACCACTAAAATTAGTACACTGTGCCTCTAGCAAGTTTATTTGTGAAGTGTGTATGTATGCATATAATATGTTTTTATTAGATATAGAATTTCAAAGGGTAGATCATGTATTCCATCCCTATACTGAATGGTTCGTAATGTACAGGTAACCTATTTGCCCTACTTGAGCACCTATCCTAAGGCAGAGAATGGACATATGTGTCTGCTGGAGATAAGTGGTGGTTATCTACCAAGTAGGCCTCTATGTTAATTCAGAGCTTTTCCATGCTGAATCAGTAGCTGAAGCTGGAACTGTCACTCCCAATTACTCTGGGACAGTTGCCCAAACTGTAAAGTCCTTAAAAGAACACGGCATTTGGAATACTAACCAGTATTCCTAACACTATAGAGTCTGTCTCGAACTATTGGAGACCCTCTCCACCAACCATTTTTTTCCAAAATGTTAAGAAATTACATTTTGCGAATCTTCTTTAAGCATTCACAGCTCTCCGTTTCCAGAAATGTCATCAAGAAGGCATGTCCTCCACCGTGATGGTCCAATCAAATGTCCCTCATAGAAGAACACTAGGGACTGATGCGCATCAAATCTTCCCCATATGAAAGTATTGTATTCAATGCTTTTCTATGGGTTCTGCAACAGAATCACCTCTAGTGGCCTTCAATATGTCAACTGCTGGAGGTGGATTTAACCCTGCCATGCAAAAATTACAACTTCTATAAAAAAACTGCAGTGTTTTGCATTGCACGGTTAAAAGAACAGGGACACTGCACTCAGACCACTAAATTGAGATGAAGTGCTCTGGACTATAGTGCTCCTTTAATCTTCTGTCTCGATTGGTCTCAATGTTTATTATATTCCCTCAGTGGCACTATTTTCCATTATGTAAGGTTTGCGGTTTCTTTGTGTGAGTCTCTGTCTGTCAATGTTTAACCTTTACATATCTGCACCTGATCCAGTTAACTGCTACTGAAAACTATGTGAAAGCAAACGTTGTTACAGCTTCTTACAGCAGACCAAGAGTTAATCAGGAAGTGAAAGTAGCTCTTTTTCATTAGTTGTTTTTCTGCAATTTCCTGACGACAGCATTCAGCTCCGTAAGTCACAAATAGAAGGTAAAGTTGTCTTTATTATAAATAATAATCATTAATAATAATCAAGATTTTAGATTGAAAAGTTACTAACCCAGCATGCAAACACTTATAGAATTTCCCTGATCTTTATGTTCTAAACTCTCTGTAAACACCCTGCTTGCATGGTTATAGTACATGCAGGAGGCCTCGAACGTCAACTTGTTTCATACTCTTAGAACACCATTTGTTGAAATGGATTGATTATAAACAATTACCTCTTTGAATGTCTTAGCATACAATAACCTTTTCAGGACAAGAAGTTAGGCAAATCATATATCATTGCAGTTTCTGTATGTCATCTGTATTGAAGGTTCTAAACCATTATATTTCCATATGTGCATGTAATAAACTAATGCGGAATTTAGAAGGTTACTTGCACCCGAGGTTCTGTGGACTTAGCACTCGTCATTCTCAGCCATATCATAGTTTTTTTAACTACTTTTCACATGCTTTTGCTTACGTTTAGAAACTTAAGAGAGAGGCAGGGTAACAAAACTGGTGTAGACTGGCTGACAATGAAATTAGTTAAGGCACATCACTACATACACTTTTTCTCTGTTCCAGACTGTATAATAGGAGCTTCTGCCTGCTAGTAAGAAGGTTAGGAGAGGAGTGAACCAACGAGTGCTAGGGGACAGTCCTTAGAAAGCGTAGAACTACCAAATCATTAGACGCATTTATGACAAGATCAGGGTGCTCTCTGCAGAGTATGCCCTTGGTTGGTCATCCTGCATGATTGGCAGGCAGCCTAACGTGCATTCACGCCAGGCTGACCATCTAATTCTTCATGCAGACACATCTTCTCTTTGGGCATGTTAGTCCCTTTGGGTGGTTCTGGTTACGTGATTCACATCAGTGGCCCACCCACTGAAATCCTGCTTCCCTGGACACTGCTGTTAGGGTTTATGGATTTACTTGGAAGATAAAGAGTGAGAGATTAGCATAGGGTTTGTGTTTTCTGATAGCTATAGCCTGTGAGTTTCCCTCCAGCACCACCTCCAGCAGATACATTACACATGGGATGTATAATGGGTTTTGTGTTTTCGGTCAATTAGATTCTGGACCATCATAATTGTCAGCACCAGGCACGATGAACTCTTAATCCGGCCCTGCTGTCAGCTAAAATTCTCTAAAGAGCCAGAAAGGGGTATTATTACGAACCCTTGCACATTTATTAACCCTTGGTGGGACACACATAGGGGTGGGCGGCAGCACTGTAAAATGGCTGTGTAATACAGTAGCAAATACAAAGATACAAAATGAAGCCCTGCGCTCAAACCCGTACTAAGACTCTTTTTTTTAGGGTTTCATAGATTTATTTGCTAAAATACTGCGGGACAAATGGTCACATTGCTTGTATGGCTTTCTGTAACCTGTTTATCTCATAGGGCGGAGTTGTTTGGAGCACACCTTACTGTAAATAGTTTATCTTACAGGGGTATTGGAAGTAGTCACATGTGCGTAAGGCCATCACCAAGTGATAGGAGTGTCAAAGTTCCTTGAATTCCTTTTAAAGGAAAACCATCCTGAAAAATACTATTTTAGTGTTTTTTCTTTTTCAGTGTAAATTATGTAGGAACAATGGCAATGTTTGTGCCTGCTTTTATTTCAGTTGAAAGTGGAATTGTCATTTCTGAAGTGTCTGGATCTTTTTCTCCTGTATCTTATGGCAGATAAGGTTGTTGATTGTGGCGTCACTGATACATTCTAGCACATATGTGATAGTACAAAATTATTTAACACTCTTTGCACCTTACGCTCACATTGAGACAAGCAATTTCACATATTGTTGACCCTGTTGATTGTTTGCTCTCTAGATATTACTGGTTTAGCATCAAAAGTCCGGATGGGGGGGCGGGGCCTGATAGCCAAGATGGCCGGACGTGTTTCTTCATAGCTCCAACACTATTAGGCATAAAACAGGCCTTTTCCAGCTCTTTTCTGCACCGGCAACTACTACACATGAGCTGTAGCATGCCTTCAAACAAGCGGGAACTCAAAATGCAGACCCTGTACCATTACATCACTACCACACACTGTCCGAGCCGAGGGCCTAGCCTGCTGAACAGCCAGGCGTCTGGGAGAGGTAGCCGATCTCCCGACCCAGGAATAGCAATGCACAAGGAAAGATTTGCAGCCCCCCCCCTCCCCCCTCTGGACCGGCGGGGGTTATCCCAGTCCCCGCTGGGGAAGCACACCAGCAGAGCCTCCTGCCACAAAACCCACCACATGGAGCAGCAAAGATAGCCGCTGAGCCTCAAAGCCAGCTTCTACAGGAAAGCTCACAAACCAAAACTTGGAAGGAGGACTTCGATGCCAGATTCGAAATGCTTTGCCAAGCATTCTGGGAACGTATCACCTGCCGATACCCCAGCAGTATCCCACCGACGAAGCCGATGACCCACGCTGCTCTGCCGAATTGCCCAGCACAATCTGAGCTGGGAGCCAGCATGGAGGCACCATCTACCAGACACCTACATGCAAAGGTCCCCCTGAAGATCCGACCTTTGGGAAGAGCAAGAGTCCGGTACCGCAAACCCCCTCAACCTGCAAGCCTGCAACCCGATGCTACATTAGGACACGAGACAACAGCCTACTTGACTGCAACCGGGAGGATGGCACCAATGGCCGGGTCAGTGGCGCTGGACGCCCAGGGGCTCGGGAAACAGCCAAGTCTGCACATGAACAATCATGGGCCACAAGGGAAAACTTGGAGTAGGAAGTACCCTCCAGTGATGCCTGATTCAGGCATAGACTGACTGTCACCCTTTACACTTTCCATGGCCCGCACCTTGGACCCTGAGTGGTGGCTCACCTGCTCACCTTCCCAGTGAACACCTGATTTATGTTAATATTGTTTCTTTTCTCTACTTTAACTGTAATTAACTACCTAAGCATTTGAGTGACGACCTTTCTGTTCACCTTATTACTTAGTCATATCTACCATGTGCCCTAACTGAGATTTAGTCATAATATAAGTACCCAGCGGCTTCTTTCTAATGCCTCTAACAACAGTTCTGTGATATAGCTTCACTTTGTCAAATTGTATACCTGTATAGAATTGTATTGCTGACACCTTTATGTATTATTTACAACAAAAAGTGCAGTATTCTTGACATTGTTTGATTTGCTCTGGCTATTCTTAACTCTAAACAATATCTACATATCCCTGTATGTTATGCTATGCACTACCAAAAATAAAGAATATTTAAAAAAAAAAAAGAGTCCGTATGAGAGAGACCTAAAAATTGGATAAGCAAAGCACTTTAGATGTGAGTGAACTACACAACTTCACCCCAAGAATTTAGGCATGTGCCATTCACACTTAGTGTGCTTATTCATACTGGAAGATGAAAAACTACCCATTTATTCTCAATCTGTCCATTCATTCTAGGAATCTGAAGAATTTCTCCATTGTTTTTACTTTTTTTTTTTTGTGTGTGTGTGTGTGTATGGATTTTATAGTTTTTCCAAATAAAATGATACATGCAATCACAACACTGAAAAGCTGCCGGATCACTTGGAAACGGTGATCTGTACAGGAGATTGTAACTTGACCTGGGCGTGGAGCAGCAAACCTGCTCTGTACGATGTGCGTTCTGCACTTTGAGAGAACGCTTCCTGGGAGCTATAACACGGGCTCACACAGATTACAGGGTATGTGAATAAACTGCAAATTCTTTATATCAGATTCACCCACTATGGAATATGATGGTGATTTATAAATAAAATAAAAGTAGAGAACTAGTTTCCTGCTGGTTGTGACTGAAATGTTTGTTAATTAAAGAAACCTTGCTTACTTAACTGTTTGCATACCAGGATGTAATGTGATCGACTAATGTTCCTGGCACAGAAAAGGTTAAAGGACTCCGGGTTTGCATCTTCCTGTTTACACACTGTATTTGACAGACCATTCCTGACATATAATTGTTAATATTGTTCTTGTTAAATTCTAGAAGCACAGTACATTATCGAACATGCTTCCACCCTCCCTTCTCCTTCTTTCTTGGGAATTTCCCCCTGAGTTTGAAACCGTGGATCAGTTTTAATGTAAAATAGATTTTTTTATTTATTATGGAGGTTTCTGAGTTATGACTATGTAGAAATTCCCCACTAAAGTTACGTTAGATCTCTGCGAGGTGAAAATGAAAGTGAAAGCTGTCCGAGTTGGCTTCCTCCCTTCTCATTTAAAGGGACAGCACAGAATAAAACTAGGGGCTCTTCTGTATACAGTGTTTTGCGTCTCATGATATTTTATCTCACTGGACAAGGTAATATCTGTCACATGAATAGATTTACTAGAAGTACATAATACTTGATCCACGTTTCTTATTTAAACAACACCGTTCTTTATTGTTAATATTTTAAGGCAACTTTTTTCTTTTCTTATCATTTGTATGTAATATATTTTCTTCTTTATAGTGTATTGTGAGTTGCGTGAATAGAATTTTTGTGCCTGAAAAAAGTGAGCGGTAATGAAAATGCATTTAAATGAGTAAGATTTACTAAAGATCAATGTTGCCATTTATGAATGTGGCCAGTCACTTGATACATTATTCTGTTTGGTTGCCTGTTAATATGATTTCCAAAGTAAAATGATTTATCACAGGTACACATTTATATAGTGTCTGCTGGGAGGAGAAGAGGTGTAAACATACTGCAAGTAGGACTTAAGGTAGGTTGGTGTCCCCTGGCCCATGGAGTAAAAGTGACAAAATAAACAAGAATTGACTTGGTTTTTAACCCCTTCAGGACCGGACTGTTTTGGCCATGTTATACGTTAAGGACCAAAGCTGTTTTAACCCTTTTGTGGTGTTTGTGTTTACCTGTAATTTTCCGCGCGCTCATTTACGGTTTCCATACAAGTTATATATTTTTTTTTTTTCAGGACAAGAAGGGCTTTCTTTACATACCATTATTTGTATCATGTCATATAATTTACTTTAAAAAAATAAAATAAAATATGCTGAAAATTTGAAAAATAAAACATGTTTTTTGACTTTTACTTGAATAATCTTTTACTGGTCTACAAAAGCTAATGAAAAAACTGCTTAAAAACACCATGTTTACATGCTTTTTTTGTTTTGTTTTTTTGAAAGTTATAGGGCTATAAGTACAAGTAGGAAATTCCTGTTTCAAAATATATATTTTGAAAATTTATCAATAGTGACATTTAACACTGTTATCTCTCATAAATCTCTGAATCACACCGTACATATTTTTTTAAAGTAGACAACCCAGGGTATTCAATATGTTCAGTCTTTTTTTGTAGCCACAAACACTGACCAAAGTTGGCATTTGTATTTGTTTGTGTTTTAAAAATAGAAAAAACAATTATGAACACTAACTTTGGCCAGTGTTTGTGGCTACTAAAAAAAGACTGAACATACCCCATTTGCAATACGTTGGGTTGTCTTCTTTTGCAAATAGTATGCCATCATGGTGGTAATTCTCATTCCTGGGCTACCATACAATCTCAAAGGCAACATAACTAACCTGGCAAATTTCAATGTAAAAAAAAAAAATGAAAGTCAAGCCTTATATTTGACCCTGTAACTTTCAGAAACACTATAAAACCTCTACATGGGGGGTACTTTTATACTCGGGAGACTTCGCTGAACACAAATATTAGTGTTTCAAAACAGTAAAACATATCACAACAATATCACTAGTTAAAGTGCTGTTGAGCGATCACGTGGCCGCGGGGTCCTAATTTGCCGCGGGCAGACTGCCTGGGCTGCAGGCAGTCTCCCCACACTGGGAGCAACGCTGATCGCCACCGGGGGAATGACTGCGATGGGGTAAGTACCCCAATACCGTTATGACAGTTCAGGACCGTCATCAGTCCTCGAGGGGGTGTTTCCGATGACGGTCCTGAACCGTCATTGGTCGTCAAGGGGTTTAATACATTAATGTATTAAAAATATATAGGAAAATAAGAAGGAAAAAAAAAACTTACCTTATTGCTCCTAGAGCTACATAGCTTGCACAGACTCACCCTGACCAGGAAAAGAATCAGCCAATCCGGATCCTCTAATTCTTTGTTCGTTATCCTATAAACTGCTTTTCAGCAAGGATTGATGTGACATTCCATTTATCCCTCACTGACCATTTCATTCATCACAAAATAAAATGTAAAACGGCTTTGGAAGGTGATAGCAGCCATAACCCGGCGGTTTTTGTTTATACAAAGCCGAAGCTGCTGTACGTTAATAAATTATGGGTTCTTTACACGGAGGGTAAAAAAGGGGTATCTCCGCAAGCACAGTGTGGCATCCACAAGCACAAACTGGATGAATCTAGACTGCAAAGGGAGAAGATGGGGTGAAGGGTAGTCTGTACCATAGGATGCAAAGATGTTATGGTGCTTTGAGGATCAGTATTGTATATAATTTCGATCTGAATTTTTGAAATGTTAAACTTTGTCAGGGTTATTCATTAAAGAAAGAATTGTTGAAAATTCAAAGCAAATCCAGAGTGACTTTCAAATCTAAGTAGCCAATCTGGAAGTATAGCTGACTCAGAAAATGTTTCCAGTTTAGCTATTTTGACCAGACATTTGAAATTCACTCTGAATTCCTGACAATTCCCATATTAGTGAGTAGCTGTGTGTGTGTTTTTCTTGTTATTTAAAACGTTGAGTAATTCCTTATTCTTTGTTTGGTAGGCTATGCTAATTGCAGCAGGTACTAGCGCTGAAAATGGACGAAGAATTTCGTGGACGTGTGGTAACGAACGGTGAGCATCTGGATAGAGCCTGTCAGAGAGAAGGGGTCTGTTAATACTGTAACACACCTCTGCGAACTACAGTAACTGCAATACGAGGATCTAAGAGTAATAAAAGAGCTAATTTAAGAATTATATATTTATAATACTTTTGCAACGTTTTAACATTAAAATTGAAACTGAGCTTTCTGATATTATTGGTGCTGTGAAATAGACTTTTCTCCAGGTGCCAAAAGGCTAATTTGGCCCCTTTCTCACATATGTAAGCTGGTTAGTACCTCCGCTAATTTATAGGTCGAAATAAAGCAGATCTGTCACTTAGCATTCTTTGTGAAGACCCAAAAAGGTTCCATCTCTAGTTAATGTCCTGTGGCTTCAAGATATGTTTATTTACCTGAAACTGTGCCTTGAAGCCCCAGCCATCTTCTTCCTGGAAGTCTTCTTAATTTGCCAGGAGCCGCATTAGTGCTGTTGTACAACACTGAAGTTTATGGAGTAACCCGCAAGACTTCGAAAGTCTCCATCTCGCAATGGGCGTGAACATGCATGAATCCCACAGTCAACACTTGTGACAGCTGCTGGGATTGAACAAAAGTTGGCGGTGGAGCTATGCCTTTTGTAAGCTTTTGTCAACATCAGTCTTAACCCTAAGACAAAGTAGTCCATTGCTTGTATTATGGTATCTTTGGATTGTTTTGGAATTTAAATGAAATTACTACACAGAAAGCATTAGTATTTCATAAACATATCTAAAAAGTGAGAGACACTAATTTAAGTTTCCCAGATTTCCAAGCTAGACTTTTGTAACCTAACACTTTCTAACCTTCTTCCAGCTTGAACCAGTATAAGTGAATTACCTCTGACCTGTAATCAGACAAGAAATAACATAACATTTTTTTATGAGTTTGTGATTTATTCCATCATTAATATTAATGAGGTTTTGTTTGCTTGTTGATATTCAGAGGAGCTGGAGCTATTTTGTATGCAGCTGGCTGAGTACGAGATGCACCATCATTGTAGCTTATATAAATAC